CTCCCCTCACACTCGGGGGGTTTCCTTTTTTTTGTCATAGGGGCTGGCAGATTACGGGCCCCCCATAGCTGGCCGGGCCCGTAATCTCCCAGGGGCCCCCTACCGACCCTCATGCGCGCCAGGCCGTAATCTTCATGGCCACTTTTGTCGCTTGTTGGCATTTTCCGCTCGTTCAGATCTCCTTCTCCTGCACTCCCTTCACATTCCGTCACAGTCTTTTTTGGGATCCTTTCCCAAAGACAACATTTTTGCGAGCACGCACCCGACGTGCGAAGCTAAACGTCCTCCTGCCCAAAAGTTGCTGCTGCCAGGCTCTAACGTCATCCCCCTGTACCGCCTCCCAAAGCTGCTCCGGGTCCAGATTTTCCCATTGGCCCCCGTACCGACTCCTCCATGCTGCTGATGCCAGTGCCCGTAATCTGTCATGGCCCCTGTACCGCCTCCTCCATGCAGCTGCCAGGTCCAGAGTGTGTCATGGGTCCCTGTACGGCCTCCCATTGCCTGCAGCCAGGCCCGTAATCTGCAATGGGCCCTGTAAAACCGACTCCTCATGCTGCTCGCCAGGCCCGTAATCAGTACATGGGCCCCTGTAACCCGACTCCCCATGCTGCTGCCAGGTCCAGAGTGTGTCATGGTCCCTGTACGCCTCCCTTTGCTGCTGTCTCTATCGCCACACCTGCCATGTTAGCCCACTTTGCAGGTCTCCTCACACTGCTGGTGTTTTCCATTTTTGTCATAGGGTGCTGTATGGCCTTCCCCTTGCTGCTGCCTCCACCGCCACACTGTGGCTCCACACTCTGTTTTGGCCCCGTGACTGCCCAAAGAGTGAAGTGTGCTGGTGATATCTAAGATCGACGGCACTCAATTCTGCATGTCCAGAATTAAACAAGACTGACAGTATTAATTCTCTTCCACAGCAGATAAAATTCACAGCGAATTTTATTCGACTCGAATCGAATATTGTCCACGAATTCGCCGAATCAGTCGAATCGAATTTTTTCATTTCTTCGCTCATCTCTAGTCTTTAGCTGACACTCTGGGATTCTTCTTTACCTCATGCAGCATTCTGTGCTGTGCTCTTGCAGTCATTTTTACAGGACGACCACGCCTAGGGAGAGTAGCAACAGTGCTAAACTTTCTCTATTTGTAGACAGTCTGTCTTACGTGACACATGAACAGCAAGGCTTTTGGAGATACTTTTGTAACCCTTTCCAGCTCTCATGCAAGTCAACAATTCTTGATCGTAGGTCTTCTGAGAGCTCTTTTCTGCGAGGCATGGTTCACATCAGGACCCCAGTGCTCTCTTGAAACCAGTAAAACCAAAACAGGTGTGTGTTTTTTAAGGGCAGGACAGCTGTTAAATTCAGTGCACACAAACACAAATATATTACCCATTTTTTATTGTAAAACATAAAATATGAAGTTTCGCCGAGTAACAAAAGCAAAATTGTGCTTGTGGAATGGCGCTAAACTACAGTATTTACAAATCCCCATAGTCAGCGCCTTTAAAGCCTTTATGGGTCACCAGCTTAGAGTTACACAGGAGGTCTGCTGCTAGAACTATTATTCTTGCTTTGACGTTCGCAGCGACACCTTATATGTGCGGTGCGATTTACGTATGCATGAGGGAACAACGCGTGCGCTCGCCTTTGCACACAAGCATGGGGGGCGGGGGCACTTTATATATTTTTTATCATTTATTTAAATTTTTTTATTTTTACATTTTTCTTTTTCCTTTTTTTTTGATCATTTTTATTTCCATCACAAGGAATGTAAACATCACTTGTGACAGCAATAGGTAGTTACATAGTTAGTCTGGCTGAAAAAAGACAAAAGTCCATCCAGTTCAACCATAGGAAAAAAAAAAAAAAGTTATAATCCTACACCCACAGTTGATCCAGAGGAAGGCAAAAAAAAAACCCAGCAAAACACGATCCAATTTGCTCCTGCAGGGGAAAAATTCCTTCCTGATCCCCCGAGAGGCAATCGGATATTCCTTGGATCAAGTAGCAGTGACAGGTACTCTTTATGGAGAGATTTATTAGACCCCAGACCTCTCTCCTCCCTAAAAGCATGTGATCATAATGAGTTCGGTGTGAACAAATGCTTTCAAGATTTAAAAGTGGCGCCGTGTATTTTCCAGGAAATCGAAAGTGACGACAGGACCTGTTGCTTCCAGTTTCCAATACTCATCAGAGACTTTCTGGTCCTGCATGGGCTCTATGGTAAGCTGGCGGAACCTCTGGCTTCAGTTCTGCAATGTCCGGCAGGCAAGGGCGGACTGACACCTCATGGGGCCCCCAGGCAATAGGGGATCATGGGGCCCCTGTGTCCTTGCCCACACACTCAAAGCACACCCAAAAAAGCCTATAAAAGGTACCAGGGGCATTTCATGGGACCCCCTACTGACCTCGGGCCCTCGGGCAGTGCTCGAATGGTCAGTCCGCCCCTGCCAGTGGGACAAAGATCCCAAAGAGGCACGGCAGGAGGGGGGGAGGGATAAGGATGGGCCCCATTTCACCACCTGTAACAGCAATCCAGCAGCTAATTAGCAGCTGCAGGCATCATCCCGGTATAACACTTGAAACCCGTAACAGATATGTACATTCGCGGGTCTTCAGCGTAGACATGTGCAATTCGTTTAGTTCCAAATCAAATTTTTCAGAAATTCGGATGTATCCGAATTCCGAATCACAATGTGAACAAATCCTCCGAAAAAAACTAAGCGAAATTAGTCTGAAATAACAAAATTTTAATTCGATTCGAATTTGGAAACGATTATGAAATGTAAATATATTGCACTTCTTAGATGTGAAAAAGATGCCTTCAAATTGAAAACAAAAAAAATTCCAATTTAAAAAGCAATACGAATGTTCTGAAGTCGGTCGAATAGAACTCAAGTCGGTTCAATTGAATTCAAGTTAACTACCTTTTTTAAATTCGAATTAGAAAACGGATAGACAAAAAAAAAGCATAAATGATTCTGAAAAAGAATTTAAAGTGGTCCTAAGGCTAGATTCACACCTATGCAGTTTGCGTTTGATCTTTTTCTGCATTGCGTTTTTGTACATGTGATTTTGACGTGTTTTTTAAAAACAAAATTCTTGTTGCTAGGCAGATTAAAATGCATTAAAAACACAACAAAAACAATATTTTGCGTTTAAAAAAGTCTCTGACCCTTTCAAAAAAACGCAGCTGGTGAAAATGCTGAGATGTGAACCTGTCCCATAGGAAATCATGTTAAACGGACTGCTGTGCGTTTGTGCAAAATGCTGCGGAAATCGCGTAAACCTGCAGTAAAGGCTTGCATTTTTTTTTTAACCTTCGTGCATTCTATGCACAAAAGTAAAAAACCTTCTGTGTGTAGCAACCTCCCCCAAGGCCATGTTCACACCTATCTTTTTTTTATGCGTTTTGCAGCAATGCAATGCATGCCATTTGGATCACTTTTGCGGTTTTTGCATGCGCATTTTTTTGCAAAGGGTCAGGGACTTCTTTTCCCGCAGCAGTTTGTATTTTTAGTCCAATAGGCTTCAATGGAACCGCATATAAAACACAAGTGCTGCGTGTTTGCATGCATTTTTTACATATTTTTGATGTGTTTTGCGTTTTTGGTCTGCCCAGCAACAAGTTGGCCAAACAACCCCCATACACAACGTCAAAACGCATGTGCAAAATCGCACCACAAAAAAGCAGTGCAGAAACGGATCAAACGCAAACTGCATAGGTGTGAAACGAGCCTAACACTTTCCTGAGGCCCATCCCGATCCAGCGATATCCATGAGAGCCTCGGTTCTCCGGGGACTCTCACTCTTGATTGGCTGAGGCATCAGCGGGAGCCAATGGCCAGATCACCGTCAGCGAGCCAATCAGGAGAGGGAGGGCTGCAGCTCCATGTGTGAAAGGACATGTGGAGCTGCAACTCGGGGGGGGGGGGGGGGGGGGGGGGGGGGGGTGCTTGTTCCAGTGCTCCCATAGCAAGCCTCTTGCTGTGGGGGCACCTGACAGGAAGAAGGGGCCAGGAGAGCCTGCTGGGGACCCAAGAAGAGGAAGATCCGAGCCCCTCTGTGCAAAACCACTGCACACAGCAGGTAGGTATAGACATGTTTGTTATTTAAAAAAAAAAAAAAAAGACTTTAGTATTTCTTTAACGAATTTAATTAAATGAATTAACTAATCGAAACAAATTTTTATTTCAAGTGGTTAAAGAAAAGTTTTTTGCATTATTTCCTGCTCTCCAGGACTATGCCCACCCCTTTCCCCTTGCTATTTTTTTGACAGCCCCTTGCCTATTAACCCAGAAAAAGGACATTTTTTACTTTGATAGATTTGTCTCTCATTGAGTTCAATGGAATTCGGCATCTGACCAACGTTTGAGCTGAACCCAGGGAAGTCCGGCTCATCCCTAACCAGTAGGACTGGGAATGGACCACAGAGTGACCTTGAATGATCAGGCAGGGTCATTGATAGCAGTCATTTGTGGCATTACCCACATGGAAGAAAAATATATTTGAGATATATTTTAAAAATATTCTTCCTAAATATATTGCCATATATTTGAAATGCTACAATTTTGGCCGTATATTCAATATATTAAAATGTTTTTATATATATATATATATATATATATATATATATATATATATATATATAATGTTTAGGGTTTCTAAGAAATTTTCCAGCTAAAAAATAATAATAAAATATATATATATACACACACACACACTGTATGTTGAAATGCGTTTTTATTACAAAATATATGAAAAATATTTTTAAAAATACATTTCAAATATATTGTATGTCTTAAAAAATACAAATCTACATTTTTGGAATGCATTTATAAATATATGTAAAAATATATGTTAAAATTACTTTTGTTATATATATAAAAACGCAGTGAGATGTTACATAACAGTAAATACTAATGAGAACATTTTTCTCACATACAAGGAGAGATTGAAGGTTTCTTTACTGAGACGGAACAAAACCCAGACATCAACCCAAGCAACTAGCCAGCAGTTCTCTTCTATTTGCCCTACAGAAACATGGCGCCCTGGCCTTCATATGACGCTTTGCCCCTTTCCAATACGGCGGCGCGTCCTTTTGCCCTTTTCTTCCCCCCGGGCTTCCGGCTCGGAACTCTTTGGTTCCTCCAGTCACTCTCAGTCCCCCGAACAATGTAACCCGGCGCCGGGCCGGGATGCTGTTACTGGGCTCCGAGCTCCCTCTGGACATGGACAGCCAGGCTCTGGTCATCCGGATCCGCATCCCTGAGGGCGGCGCCGTGGACTGGACCGTTCAGCCGGCCACACAGCTCCTGTTCCGGGACATACTGGTGAGGAAGGCCGCGGCGGTTACGTAGAGACCACGTCAGTGACGTCACTCCTTCCCCCCCCCTTGGCCCCCTGTGTTGTGTTTACTTGAGTCAGGTCAGGGCTGGGCATGGTCCCTTTAGTGCTGTGCACCCTCCAAACCTTTCCCCCCTGGACCATGGCATCCTATCCTAGGACATTCTGTACTCATATTACCTCCTTCTGTATCGGCTTCTTCTATACCCATATAAGCTGCCGCTGTACTGATATTGGCTCCTTCTGTACTCACATTAGATCCTTCTATACTCAGACCCTTCTGTGCACATATTATATTCTTCTGTATTCATATTAGCTCCTTCTGTACTTATGTTAGCTTGTGTACCTATATTAGCTCCTTCTATACTTACATTAGTTCCTTCTGAACTCATATTAGACCATTATGTACTTCTATTAGATCATACTGTACTCATATTAGCACCTTCCATACCTATATTAACTTGTTTACTCATATTAGACCCTTCTGTACTCATTAGCTCCTTCTGTATCTATATTGGCTCCTTCTATATACATATCAGCTCCCGCTGTAATATTGGCTCCTTCCGTACTCTC